CCCTGAACATCCTCCGCCTGCATTTGTACCATTTACCATTGAATCTAAGACACACCTTTCCTTAGGTACCACAAAGGAAAAAACACTGTCCATTCAACTACAGCTTAACAGTAGACTCCACAGTTAATGCAAACTTCTCTTTGCTTTGACATTTTTTTTCCTTCAAGAAGTGTTGACATTCTCTCCTGTCTCTCAGTTGCTTGTGATGGCAACCCTATCATGGATCTCAGCACCAGTGTCTTCTACTTCAGGGATGGGTCTTCCTCTCCTAGCATCCAGAAAGCACTCAGTGGGTGCTTTGCAAAAACCATGAGTTTGTGTTCATTTCTCCAACCATGCATATCTGCTTCACCCATATCAAAGACCTGTTGCTCCGTTTCCACAAATTTTTGCACACATGGTAATTTTTCATTTCAATGCCAAGTCATAGTGTAATCTTTTTAAGAACCTTTTAAATGGCAACTCAACACCTGCAGTAGCAATAGTGAACTTAATTAGACTGAATGGATGGCAACATGAGCGACTATGTGCAAGTTGGAGCACTATTTACAACTGTGTCTCCACTGAGCCCAGCTGACACCATCAACCAATCCCCAGAGATGCAAGAAGGTGGAAAATGTGCCTTTTAGAATCAATGAAATATGATGCCCACTCCCTATCCCATCCCATCATCTTAACTTCTCACTTATACCAGGAGTCATAACTAAAATGAGGAAGAAAATAACTCCAACCAAGAAGATGATAATGGTTAAAATATATATAGTCTTTTCACTATTCTGACTCATTTCTACTGTTTTATTTTAAAGTGAGGGACTCAAAGCTACCTTTCTTCCCTACTCATAGTGTAAACTACACTATGTCATGTTGCTTTATAATTGTCTTAGTGACAGCATCTCACTACATCTCTTTTTCCTCCCTCAATTTTTTCTTTTTTTTTTTTCCTCTCTGATAACCTGGAAGTGAAAGCAAGTACCCGACTTCTATGTCATCTATCTGGGCTAGTACCATGACTTTGAATTTAAAATAAAATTCCTTCCTCTCATTTTCATCATGATTCCTCATAAAACTTGAGTAGTAAGAGAAACAGGAAGAGACTATGATTTTTCAGATGAGACTAGGAAAAACCAAAAAGCATGGAGTATTGGTGGAGAAGCCAGTACTAGCACACAGTCTCTTACACTAGGGTTTACTTCCTTTGATGCTGACTCATGTTGAATCAGTCAACCCACAGACAGAAGAACCTGTTACTGTGACCCTGGAAAGGGTCTCCCATCACAAGTACACCCTCAAGATGAAAAGTATGTATTGGAAATTCCTTAGAAGTTGAAGTTTGCTAAAATAACCTCAATTTAGCAAATACTCACTAAAAGACTGAACAAATTAAGGATCTGAAAAAACTGAGTCACTTGGCTATACACCTGAAACTATCACAACATTGTAAACCAAGTATACTTCAATTAAAAAATTAAAATAAATTTTAAGTGATAAACAAAAGTGTTTGCAACTGCCCATAAGATTTTTCATAAAAATAACATTTTTCAATTTTAATATAGCTAACAATTCCAGGGAAAAAAGAAATACAAAATACTAAGATTTCCAGAGGCAAATAAAATCTATATTTTATTTTTAAAACAAAAACAACAACAAAAAAAAGACTATGCACAGATCATACCACGCAGGATGCTGTTTGAGATTCAAGGACGAACATCATGGTCCTGCCCTCCAGGGACTCATAATCTAGGACTGTTCTCAACCTGGGGTTGGGGAAAGAGGCAGAGAGGCAACACTGACCCTTTTGTGAATCAGATGACATTTACAGGCCCCAGAAAATTGTTCCAAATCCCCATGCGCGCCCACACTCACACATACACACACAATTTTGCAAATAATTTTGGGGGCTTATAGAGCTCTGGAGGCTTCCCTGGTGGTTCAGTGGGAAAGAACATGCCTGCCAATGCAGGAGACGCCAGAGACGTGGATTTGATCCCTGGGTCAGGAAGATCCCCTGGAAAAGGAAAGGCAACCCACTCTGGTATTCTTGCTGGGAAAATTCCATGGACAGAGGAGCCTGGCAGGCTACAGTCCAGGGGGGTGCAAAGAAGAGGACACAGCTGAGCGACTGAGTCCAACAGCAACAGCAGAGCTCCTGGACTTTGGAGGAGCAGCTCATGTGGGGGTCCTATAGCATCCGGCCACAAAACTCACTTTTTCTCACGGTTACCCCATCCGAGTACAAACAGACCAACCAAGCCAGTCACACAGTTCCAGAAGAAAGCAAGAGCCTGCCCTTGCTGCCCAGGTTTTCTTGATTAACTGCTGCTCCAGAAACGCCTCTCTTCTCCCTCCGACTTGGTGTTTTGAGGCCCTCTTTCCTGGCAGGAGATGACTGTATTCCAGCCAGCCAGGGCACTCTAGTCTAGGAAGCCAAGGTTCTCCTCACTGGACTGGCCCACAATACCTCCTGGCCCAGCCTCCTCGTCCCTTCACAGCCCCTGGGAGACACTGAAGCCTCATTGTAGCAGGTGACCCAGGCAGAAAGGAGGGCTCCTCTTAAAGAGGCTGGGGGACCTCACCCTGCAGGGAAATCTCTCGCCAGGGATATGGCTACAAGGATTTTCTGGCCTTTGTGAGTGGGCTGGTGTTTGGGGATTTTCCAGTGATTTATTACCCTGGAAAAGCAACCAGACTGTTCATTTTAAGTCAGGATGTTGAAGTGTCACTGAATCGCTGGGGACCAACATCTGGGATCAGAGCCTTGCCTTGATTGAAGCCAGAGCCTCAGTATCACTTAAGGACACAGACGCTCCAGCTTCTTCCTCACATTAATTTGTGAGTATAAATATGAAACTTCTGTTATGTTCCTTACACCCTCTCAGGAAAGGGGACAGAGTTCCTATCTTGGCTTTTCATTCTGACCTTCAGGCCTAGATCCATGAAGTATCTGTCGAAACTCTGAGACTGCAGTCATGTTCTAGTGTTTGTCCTCATTCTTCCCTGGATGGTGCTTCAAGGGACACTGCAGGAGAGGCCTCTTGAAATATTACCCCTGCTAGTACTAGTAATAATACACAGCATTTGGGGAGCTTCCCAGGTGATGCTAATGGCAAAGAACCTGCCTGCCAATGCAGGAAACCTGAGACACAGGTTCGATCCCTGGGTGGAGAAGATCCCCTGGAGGAGGGCATGGCAACCCACTCCAGTATTCTTGCCTGGAGAATCCCATGGACAGAGGAGCCTGGAGGGCTATAGTTCATAGGGTTGCAAAGAGTCTGACACAACTGAAGAAACTGAACACACATAATATTTTTTACTTTAAAAAGCGCTTTCACCTTTACTGTTATTTTAACAACTAACAACTGTTATCCAACCATGAAAATATGTCAGTCAGGATCCCAGGAGGAATCAGCAGGCTCATTTAAGGAGTCTGTGCATGTGTGCTCAGTCATAAATGACTCTTTGCAGCCCCATACACTGTAGCCCACCAGGCTCCCCTATCCATGGAGTTTTCCAGGCAAGAATACTGGAGTGGATTGCCATTTCCTTCTCCTGGGGATATTCCCAACCCAGGGATAGAATCTGCTTTTTCTGCATTGGCAATAGATTCTTTACTGCTGTGCCATTTGGGAAACCTTTAACAAGTTTAACTGAAAATTATTTAAAGAAGGAACTGTTTACAGAGATGTGTCCAAGTCTAATCAGGAAAACAGAAGGCCAAATATTTTAATAAAGAGAATATTTAGAGAGTCAGAAATCTTTACATAAAGTATCTACAGTAGTCAGATTCATCCAGGCAGAAAGTAGAGGGGTGCTTGCAGGGTTGGGGGAGTAGGGGAGGGGAGTTATTGGTTAATGGACACAGAGTTTCAGTTTTTAAAAGATCAAGAAGTTCTGGAGATGTGTTTTCCAACAATGGGAAACAGACCACTTCATGCCACTGAACTGGACACTGAAAAATGTTTAAGATGGAAAAAAAAAATGTTTAAGATGATAAATTTTCTGTGTTTTATACCACAATAAAAAGAAAATAGGGCTGGAGATCTGAATATGTGAAAGGACTCTGTGAGGTAACAGAAAAGTAACTATAAAAAAGCAGCTGAAATACTGTTTATAATAGCCAGGACATGGAAGCAACCCAGATGCCCATCAGCAGACGAATGGATGAGGAAGCTGTGGTACATATACACCATGGAATATTACTCAAAAAAAAAAAAAAAAAAAGCAGCTGAAAAAAAAAGAAAAAAAAAAAAAAAAAAAGCAGCTGACACTCCTGGGGCCAGGGGATGAAGGGGGAAGCCTGGGGTTGTTATAACCCAGCACTTGAAAGCATTGAGGACAGACCTGGGAATGCCAGAAAAAGGCAGAGGGCTGCACCCCACTGCTGGGGGACAGGCTGTCATGAGGCCGAGGGAACAGGAAGAGTAAGCCAGGGCAGGCCCACGTCCCTTGGCCCCTGCAGGCTCCCTGTTGCACCCCACAGGTGTAGAACTGGTGGGGAGCCATCCCAAATAAGGGGGTGATTTGCAAAGTCACAGCCCAGCACCAAAAAGCAGGGCATAGGGTGGTTAGTGATTGACCATTATTAGCTTATCAATGGTATGGCTTCACAAAAGGTGTGGGCAGGGTTTGGAGAAGGCAATGGCACCCCACTCCAGTACTCTTGCCTGGAAAATCCCATGGATGGAGGAGACTGGTAGGCTGCAATCCATAGGGTAGCTACGAGTCAGACATGACTGAGCAACTTCACATTCACTTTTCACTTTCACACACTGGAGAAGGAAATGGCAATCCACTCCAGTGTTCTTGCCTTGAGAATCCCAGGGACAGGGGAGCCTGGTGGGCTGCCGTCTATGGGGTCGCACAGAGTCGGACACAACTGAAGCGACTTAGCAGCAGCAGCAGTGGGCAGGGTTAAGGGAAAGGTAAGACAACCAGCAACTGGAAACAGCAGGAGACATTTACCACCCTGAAGCCTAAGGGGCAAGAGGAAGGAATGAGCTTACCTTGTCAGAACCTTATCAGGCTCATGGCTGTGAGAGAGAGGCTGCCCAAACCAGGGCCAAGCAAGAAGGGGATGGGCAGGGGTGTGGGAGTAACCCCTGACCTCTCGCTCCTCCCACCCGCTGATCTCCTGAAACTGCTGCAGCTTGTCCAGACCAAACTGGGAGTCGGAGGGCAGTCTGTTTAACATTCCTTTATGAAAATGGAGCCTACCAAAAAAGAAAAGAAAATGGAGCCTACCATAGATAATTATCTGCATCCTCATCTCCCCACCTAATGACAATAAAAACAACAGTAGCAACAAAATATTAAGAAGAAGCCCTCCAAGTTTATATAGATCAACTCATTCTTTCAATATGGAGGTTATCATACTAAGTGAAGTGAGTCAGAGAAAGACAAATATTACATGATATTGCTTATATGTGGAATCTAAAAAATGGTACAAACGAACTTACAAAACAGAAATAGAGTCACAGATGTAGAAAACAAACTTGTGGTTACCGAGGGGGTAGGGCGTAGAAGGATAAACTGGGAGATGGGGGTTGATATAGATACACTACTATATGTAAAATAGATAACTAAGAACTTACTGTCTAGCGTAAGGAACTATTCTCAATACTCTGTAATGACTTATATGGAAACAGAATCTAAAAACAGAGTGGCTATATGTGTGTGTATAACTGATTCATCTTGCTGCACAGCAGAAACTCACACAATATTGTAAATCAGCTCTACTCCAATTTTTAAAAAATTAGAAGCTAGGATAAAAAACACAGTTCCTTGAATTTATTGAGCTAAGTTGGTGGCTCAGATGGTAAAGGCTGCCAGCAATGCAGGAGACCCAGGGTGGATCTCTGGCTTAGAAAAATCCCCTGGAGGAAGAAATGGCCACCCACTCCAGTATTCTTGCCTGGAGAATCCCACGCACAGAGGAGCCAGGAGGGCTACAGTTCATGGGGTCAACAGAGTTGGACACAACTGAGCGACTGACATAACATCAAGAGCTCATCCTCTTTGCACCAGTCCAGGGGCTCTTCCTTGGCTCTGTCCCACAAGTATCTGTGGCACTTAAAAGGTACAGATTCCTGAACCCAGCTCTTGGAATGTATGACTCAGTGGGCCTGGGAAGCAGCCCAAGAGCCATGTTAAGTTCCACAAGTGACTCAGACCACCAGCTGATGGTGAGAACTACACTGCCTAGCATTCATCTCAGTATTTTTATGCAGCCTGAGCATTCCAACATAGCCCTCTCAGAGCCCACTCTCCATTTTCTGGCATGAAAGAAGGTTTTTTAATATTCTTTTAGCACCACCCCCAGTTCCATGGTCTCAGGATTTAAAAGAAATACAAACCAGCTTTTCTTATTCAGCTGAGATTGGATATACCTGAACTAGGGCTAAAGGCGACAGAGGGAGAGGATGCATTTCCATGTTTCCATTAAAAGGGCTTAACCTGAAATACAATTATTTTCTTTTCTACTTCCTGTATTGGTGGTTGAGCTAGTTAACAAATAGTACCTCAGATATATTCTTGGCACCCAATGTAATGAAGGTTTAAGGAAAGGAGACAACTTCCTGATTTGCTGGTGACACCTCCACACACAAGTCATCCTAAGACCCAGGCTTCTCAGGAGCCAGAAAAATCAGTTCATTCATTTCGCCAAAAAATATGTATTGTCTGCCTACTACATAAAAGCTCTGTTCTGGGTGCTAGGGACACAGTGAGGCATAAAACAGACAAGATTCCTTCTGCTCTTGGCTTAAAACCTAGTTAGAAGAGACAAACATGAAACAACAAAAGACAGTGTCAGATTATGGTCACTGTAATGCAAGAAATTAAAAATACGTTGTGATAAAGAGTGAAAGGTGGGCTTCCCAGGTGGCTCAGTGGTAAAGAGTTTGCCTGCAATACAAGAGATGCGGGTTTGATGCCTGGGTTGGGAAGATCCCCTAGAGAAGGAAATGGCAACCCACTCCGGTATTCTTGTCTGGGAAATCCCATGGACAGAGGAGCCTGGAAGGCTACAGTCCATGGGGTTGCAAAGAACCAGACACAACTTTATGACTAAACAAAAACAACAAAGAGTGAAAGGCAGGAGACAGGATGCAGGCGCGGGCAGTGCAATGGTAGGCAGTCAGGGGAGGCCTCCCTGAGGAGGTGATATCTTAGCTAAGACTCAAGGGAATGCGGAGAGTCCATCATTACATTCCATTGTTAAGAAGCTATCTTAATGGTCTAGCTGAGAGCTAAGTACAGCTTGCTACCTAGTGGAAGTGGAGGAGAGAGCAGGAAAGGGGAAGAAAAGTAGGCAGGTGTGGAAAATATTTCAGAAGGAGAACTAATAGAATTGGCTGATGGGTTAGAAGGTAAGGGGTGAAGAAAATGGGAAACCAAGAATGACTCCAATGTGAGTAACAGACAGACAGTGGTCCACTTTTCTGGAATGGAGAATCCTAGGGAAGAAAAAGGTTCAGGGTGGGATAAGTCAAAGATGTGGTTTTGCATCTAGTTAATTTGAAATTTCAGTTAGACATCCAAGGGATAAAGTTCAACAGGCTACTCAGAATAGGGGGTCAGAAGTGATAAGAATAATTCAGAAATCACCAACATACAGATGGCACATGAAGTCCAACCGTGAGATGAAAAAAGGCTTGGTCCATGCACGACTGTACCTGGGCTAGAAGCTTCTGGAGGCGAAGCCATGTCAGGACAGGGAGGAGCAATCCTGACCCAATCCAAACCTCTCTCCAGGCAAGCTCTCAGAGGCAGCGTAACATTTAAGGTGCAGAGCAGACAACACAAACCCACTTGATTTTAGCGATAACCACAGAGGAAAGCGAGCATGTGTATGTTGGAACTAGGCCATGCATTCTGTAGACTTATATACCAGAGAAAGTAACAAACACATTTGGGACCTATCATCAAGGAGCAAATGTCCTGTGCAAGCAGGAGACCAACAAGAAACAAAGCACTCCCCCCCGACTTTTTTCTCAAAAAGGAGCTGGTTATGGACCAACCTCTCAACCAGAAGCTACCTAGAGGCTGGGTTGTCTAACTGTTAAAAAAGACCTAAGCTCTGGGTCTGGCTTTCCACCATACACTCAGACGTTTTTGTTGCTGGGTAGGAGCAAGGGGAGAAGAATGCATAGACCTCCTCTCACTAAATAAGGGGAGGTAGCAGAGTGGAGGGATGGGGGTGAAAGGATGAATAGACCATTTCCAAAGAAATAGCCCCACCTACAGAAACCCATTTCCATCTAGATTCCTTTAGAATCACTCTCCTGAAACAGTAAGAGATCTCCACCATCAGGAAGTCATGTCTGACAATCTGGAGACAGATAGGCTTAATAAAGATTTAGGGAAACCTATGTGAATGTCATCTAGCCGAAATAGCTCAGTTGGGAGAGCGTTAGACTGAAGATCTAAAGGTCCCTGGTTCAATCCCAGGTTTTGGCAAAAGTTTTGGTTTCCCTGGTGGCTCAGATGGTAAAGAATCTGCTCACAATGCGGGAGGCCTGGGTTCGATCCCTGGGTTGGGAAGATCCCTGGAGGAGGACATGGCAACCCACCCCAGTATTCTTGTCTAGAGAATCCCATGGACTGAGGAGCCTCATGGGGTTGCGAAGCTGGACATGACTGAGTGAATAAGCACAGCACAGCTCATACTCCAATAAACATCGACTTCCCTGGTGGCTTAGATGGTAAAGCGTCTGCCTACAATGTGGGAGACCTGGGTTCAATCCCTGGGTCAGGAAGATCCTCTGGAGAAGGAAATGGCAACCCACTCCAGTACTCTTGCCTGGAAAATCCCATGGACAGAGGAGCCTGGTAGTCTACAGTTGATGGGGTCACAAAGAGTCGGACACAACTGAGTGGCTATACTTTCACTTTCATGTAGATGTCACGTAAAAGTACCAGGAAAATAGAAAATGCTGAAGAGGACATCATTCTTCAAAATGCATGGTGGAAGGGAAAGACAAAGGGAAGAGAAAAAAGAAAAAGAGAGGAGGAAGAGGATGGGAGGCAAGGAGAAAGAGGAACTCTTTTTTTTTTTTTTTTTTCAGGAATTAGTATTACTTAACTATAACCCTCTTGCTCCCTCTGGAGGTCAAGATCATGAATAACATGCCTGTAAAAGAAAATTCACTGTTACTAGAAGCCATGGCTTCATTTTTCACTGCGCCTTTCTTCTTCACTTTAAGTCAGTATTGGGACTTCCCTGGCCGTCCAGTGGTTAAGACTCTGTGCTTCCACTGCAGGGGGAACAGGTTCCATCCCTGGTTGAGGAACTAAGGTCCTGCATGCTGTGTGGCCAAAACACAGAAGGAAAAAAATAAAGAAGTCAGTATCAAAAGAACAAAACAAAGACAAGAAATTACGGCTCCTCTAGCTTTCCAGCACTTTCTTCACACTCTGAAATTTGGAGACCAAGAGTTCGGGGTGCTATGTAAGCAAAGCCAGACCTACAGTACTAATCAAATACCTTAAAAAATGGGGAAAGTTTACAACATTGCTTCAGCCTTCATTAATCTTTCTCCAAACTGTTCATTATTTTGAAAACAGGAGTCTGTCAGATGGCATTCTTCCTTACTTCAGTGTTAAAGTCATTCTGGAAGGACAATGTCTGGATTTTGTTCCAGGTTTTCTGTATTTTAACAAGGATATCATTGTTGCCAGGCAACTTTGGATTCCAGATGCAGGTGCACACAAAAGTTAAATGACCTCATAATTCTAATGACTCTCCTCTGGCAGTAATCACAGTATTACAGTTGGTCTACCTAGATCCAGCAACCAAATTAAGAAAACAAGTCAAGGAGCCAAAGACAACGAACCCTAATAAAGCTGGTGCTCCTGAGGTCATTCTTCAAGGTTTCAAGACGGCGGTTCCGAAGTAGCACTGAGAGTAATTTTAGAAAGCTTCATTTCAGCCTCATGATTTTACATTATAACAGATACTCATAACATATGGACAGAAGGAGCAACGTCTCATAGCTTTGGGTTCAATTTGCGTTAACAGTGTTTTATAAATACATAGCCAGAGGGTACATTCCTCTAGCTTTCAAGATTACTGGTGCAATAATTAACAATTAACTATACTTTCAGAAGAACAAACACCAATCTGGGATGCTATTTGTGGCCACAGGCAATGAATAGACAGCATAAGACAAGCCACACCATGACAAAGAACAAAAAGAACAAAAATGAATTTTTTAAAGGAGACACTGAGCAATTTATTATACGATAAAAGTGATGTCTTAATTCACTGAGGCAGAGATGAACTTTTTAATTAATGGTGTCAGGACAAATGGGTAACCATTTAGAAAAAAAATGGTACAGTTAGATCTATTTCATGTCATACAAAAGAATAAACTCTAAATGTATCAGATTTATATAAAGGTAAAATGTAAAAAATAAAACTATATAAGTACTAGAAAAAAATGAGCAAATTCCTCTTCAATCTCAGTGTTGAGACAAAGACCTAAAATACAGAAGCAATAAAAGAAAAGATAGATAATCTGACCACCTAAAAATAGAGCATGGGGGGGAAATACCACCCCATAAACACAGGTAAAAGACAACTAACAAAATGGGCAAAAATCCTTGCAACAGACATACCCCTAATATGTAAAGAGCTCTTTAAAAATCAAGGAAGAAAGGACAATTCACCCAAAAAATATAATAAACAACCCTCATGTATATGAAAAAAATTAGAGAAATTAAAACAATACTGAAATTCTTATCTAGAAGACTGGAAAAAAGCAGAAAATATGGTAATACATTAGCTTGGCAAGACTCATTGCTGGAGAGAATGAAGATCTGTACAACTCCTTTAGAAGAAAATTGGACAATACTTAACAAAATCTATAGATGTACTTAACAGAATCTACTGAGAGATAAATCTTCTGAAGACGATAACTCTTCAAGAATATGAAATGAATGTTTACAAGGTTATTCACTGCAACACTATTGCAAAATATTAGAAGCAACCAAGCTCAATGCCATACATGAGAGTGGCTAAAATCTCCTATGGATAAACTATGATATATCCATACAATGAAGTACTAAGCAGCTATAAAAAAGAATAAAGATCAATTTATATGGAGTGATTTCTTTCCAGGACACACAGAAAAAAAAATATAAAAAGCAAAATGCAAGAATATCTATAGTATGCTATCTTTCATATAAGACAGATGGGAAAAAAATATATATATAGGCATTTGTGTGTGTGGTGTATATATATATATATATATACACACATATGTATGTATGTATATATATATATATACACACATATGTATGTATGTATGTATATATACATATACTATGCTTCCCAGGTGATGCAGTAGTAAAGAATCCACCTGTCAAGAGACGCAGGTTCAATCCCTTGGCTGGAAGATCCCCTGGAGTAGGAAATGGCAACCCATTCCAGTATTCTTGCCTGGAAAATTTCATGGATAGAGAAGCCTGGTGGAATACAATCCATGGGGTTGCAAAGAGTCAGACACAGCTGAGCAAACATGAGCACTCTCTTTGAAAACTTCATCCAACTGACTTTTAGGGCTTCCCGGGTGGCTCAGTGGTAAAGAATACACCTGCCAATGCAGGAGCTGCAGGAGATGCAGGTTCGATCCCTGGGTTGTGAAGATCCCCTGGAGAGGAAGAAATGGCAACCCACTCTAATATTCTTGCCTGGAGAATCAAAGAGTCAGACACGACTGAGCACACACACACATAACACCTTTATCTCATCTCATGAAAGAAAAGAAGATATGCTATGCTAAGTCACTTCAGTCATGTCCGACTCTGTGCGACCCCAACCCTGGAATTCTCCAGGCAAGAACACTGGAGTGGGTTGCCATTTCCTTCTCCAGTGCATAAAAGTGAAAAGTGAAAGTGAAGTCGCTCAGTTGTGTCTGACTCTTTGAGACTCCATGGACTGCAGCCTACCAGGCTCCTCCGTCCATGGGATTTTCCAGGCAAGAGTACTGGAGTGGGGTGCCACTGCCTTCTCCAAAAAGAAGATATATACACATATAAAATACTCATATATAGAACTCAGTATATTTTCATTTGTACAAAGAAAATATCAAAAAAATAAACTCTAAATTAGTGATATTGGTTATCTACAGTGATTGGGAACAGGGCAGAAACAAATGGGGAAAGAGAAACAGGGTAGTGATGGGAGAAGTGGAAGTATTCTGAGTATATTTTGATTTAAATAAATCTGATACTTAATGTAATGTTTCACTACCCAAAAATAAATAAATGATTAAACTAGGAGGTGGGAAGAACCCAAATGGAATGAGCAATAACAAATGAACTTAATGGGAATACAGATGGATAATGCGCCCATTTGAAGGAGGTGGGAAAAGGAAGAACTATCCTAAGATGCAGTATTTTGACTATATACTACAAAAAGAAGTAAAAAGAAATGTGCACAAATACTGTACTCAGTAAAGTTGTGAATACTGGTTGTGAACAAACAAGTAAATATATTATGAATAGGAGCCAGGTTTCTTGTTATCAAAGAAAGACATTGCAAATAAAGAAGTGGAGGTGAAGTGCTGAAATGAATCCTATGGAACTGTACTGGAAATGAAGGTGTCAATATGAACTCATACTTTTTAATATGTGTACAGATGGATAGCTATGAAAATATTAATACATGAAAATGTGTGTGTATGTATGGGTTAATATACATACATATATTTTCCAGCTCTATCCTCTGAGAGGGCCTAGAAGCAATGAATGAGAACACCTCACTCCACGATTTTGGTTTCCGAATATCACTCTCCAATAAATGGAACCAAAGCTCCTTGGAGAAATGGCAGGATCCAAGCCTGGGATAGGAAAAATAGAGATGCACTGCAAACATTTCCTGGTGCCAGAAAGTAAGGAGTGCTCAAAGAATGATAGGGGTGTGCTGAAAGGATGCAGGAGCCAGCTGGAAGGAGCTAAGACAGGAACAACATACATTTTGATATTTGAGCAACAATCCACATGATAGTGATTGATTATACTGCAATTGATGAAACTCAGCATTCCAATTAAGAAATGTAGAAGGAATGATGGAAATAGAGAATCAGGGTTAGGCAAACACTATACCTAATAGCTGTTACATAGAAGAATCATCAATGGATGATGAAATTAGTAGGCAAAAAGTATTATGAGAAACATGGTTTTTCCATAGTCTTAAAGTATCTCCCTACAAGATACTTCAGGATTACAAAGGGAGAAACAGTCAGCCGACAGTGCACAAACCTAGCATACAACATCCTCATCAGGTGATCAACGTGAACATCACCAGTAATAAGACATGGTGACACCATGCACCCCTGATGGAATGCAGTTAGAAGGGCAGAGCATAACTTCTCAATATTCTTACCAAAAAATGCAAAATCCCGGTCCAAACGTGAGAAATCATTAGACAAACCCAAGTGAGGGACATTCTACAAAGTAACTGACCAGCACTCCCCAGAAGTGTCAAGGTCATGAAAGACTAAGAATATTAGAGAGAGAATAGAAACATGACAACCAAGTACAATGCATGATCCTGGACTAGATCCAGGACCAGAAGAACAATTTCTTCAACATTAGTGGGAACCTTATTGAATGTGAATATGGTTTGTAGATTGGTTGATAGCAGAGTGTCAATGTTAATTTCCTAATTTTTCTGTTGAATAAGTATAAACCTGAGAGAAAGCTGGGTGAAGGTATATGGGAACATTCTGTATTATTTTTACAGGTCTTTTCTGTAGGTCAATACTTTCTTCAAAAATAAAAATCCTTTTAAAGGATTAAGAAGTGATTCTGCAAAGTGAAAACGTGTCCCTGTGGCACATTTCTGAAGGGTATTACATGCGTAATACCCTTTTCATAATTACTGACCTTAAATTGCTCTGCAGATAATAATATGTAACTTCTGTAGGAAGAATGTTGGACACCAGAGAAAACATCAGCAGAACAATACTTTGTTTAAAACATTATAAAATAAAATAGAGCCTATTTGTTTATTTAGCAGATTTGGGGAACTAGGAATAATAATGAGCTATTTGTGCTATTTCCATGTTTTCGGAAATATAACCCAGTAGTCACTAGTGCATGCTATGCACTCAAAACTGAGTTGGGGCCTGTTAGGTTTGCAAAATTTTAACGAACACTTCCTATGCAATCATGTAAATCCTTTTGGTTCTGCCTTAAGGAGTTAACACTTGCATGGGTCAGCCTGAACCAACAGGAGACAGAGACCAGTGAACAAATGCTTCCTTCTTTTGCTTCCCAGGCAAATAGTTCAGAGACACTTTTAAAAGAATCTCCTATCAATACTTAGCACCATTGACCCACAGGAATGGAAAACTTGATAATGTTTCACTGTATTCGTTTTCCCTCCCTTCCTGTTCAATTCCCCTGATTCCTCATCCTTGCTCAATGGGATCACTTCCAAACAAATTACTTACCGGTTTTTGTCCTGAGCTCTGATTTTGGGGGTCAGGGAGAACAGGGTGAGAGGGAGGCATAGAGGAAGGGATGGTAGAGACACAAGCTGAGAAAGTTATGGGCTTACCTTTAAGTATAAACTGCAGACACAAGTATGAAATGGACACCAATCAGTGGGAGTATATTACCAAGTACATAAAACAGCCATAAAGATGTCCACAATGAGAATTCTACCCAG